TGGCTTGAAATGCCTTTGCTATTACAGCACTCAGAATAACTTTATTGCCACCTTGAGTGTACATGAATAGGCATACATTAAAATGAAACTTCATTGCATACCGGTAGTCCTTGATGTAGGGCAATTCATTTAGTGACTGTTTAAAGTTACAACAGCATTGAAAAAAGGGACTTATGACCAGAGATCTAACTCTAGCCTGCTGTGAATTCCTTATCTCCCGCTATTTTCCCTTGGCTGTCAGTAGTTCAGATTCTCGTAGGGAACTCAAGCTTGCAATAAATCTTGCAACAGCAGTATCCCAACAGTCACGTGATCAAAATTCAGACAGGTGGCAACTGACTCATATTTATGATGGTTGCAGTGTCCCAGGTGTGTGTGTGTCACATGATCCACTTTGGCGACCTTCTGACAAGCAAAGTGGATGGGAAAACCAGATTCACTAAATGACTGTGTTCCTAACTTAACAACTGCACTAACAATTCACTTAACAATTGTTGCAAGGAAAAACTTACTTAACAAATATCGCGCTTTGCAATGAAAATTTGGGGCTCACTTGTGGTCGTAAGATGAAGATATCCTACAGTTAAGGATGAATATATTCCAGATGTTCCTGGAAGGACCAATTTTCTTGCATCACAAACCACAGCAAAATAGGACTCACCGCAATCATTTGGGCCACATAACTTTCAGGTCCAGTATATTCCGTTGGGTCTTTCACTCTGACCAGAACGATAAAATACAGATAGTGCCACATGTTGTGTTCTGACTTGATGTGTTCCTCGAATGAAACCGTCTTGTTGTCAAACTTGTCTCGTTCAAGCCCTGCAAAACAAACAAACAAACAAAAAAAGGAGAAATTCACAAGAACTTTTTCAGACATTAAAGCCAGAATTTCCAAGCTTGGCATCTTTAAGACTTGTGGACTTCAGTTCCCAGAATTCCTCAGCAGAGTTGGCTGAGGAATTCTGGGAGTTGAAGTCCACAAGTCTTAAAGTTACCAAGCTTGGAGCCCTCCTGCATTAAAACTCCCTTAAGAAATGAGCAGACAAAAATCCTACAACAGGTAGTCCTTGACTTAGAAAAGAAAAGAGGGGAAAAGAGAGAAGGGAAGAGAAGAGAATGCAAACTAGAGTAGAGTGGAGTGGAGTGGAAGGGAAGGGAAGAGAATGCAGAAGGGAAGGGAAGGGACTGGAAAGGGAGAGGAGAGGAGAGGAGAGATCAGAACAGAATAGAACAGAACAGAACAGAAGAGAGCTAAATTAATGGAAATTAATTGATGGATGGAAATTGATCATGGAGAAATTCAATCTGGGAATAAGGAGAAATTTCCTGACAGTGAGAACAATCAACCCATGGAACAGAAGTTGCCTTCGGAAGTTGTGGGAGCGCCATCACTTGAGACTTTCAAGAAGACATTGGACTGCCGTCTGTCAGAAATGGTGTAAGGTCTCCTGCTTTGGCAGGGGGTTGGACTAGATGACCTACAAGGTCCCTTCCTACTCAGTTAATCTATGTAATTAATCTATGTATGCCTTTAAAAAAAAAAACCTTAACGACAAGATGCAAATCCTATGAATACATACCGCAGATGAAACAGGTTGTCTTTAAGATCTCTTCTTTCTTTTGCTTTTCACTCCTGAGATCTGCAAAGGTATCGATGATGACTCCGAAAATGAGATTCAGCACGATAATGATGACGATGAAATAAAACAGGAGATCATAAACCACCCGAGCAGCAAACAGCGGCTCCTTCAAAGAAACGGCAATTTTATTTAGTTTTAGGGCTGTAGGTTGAGGGGACCTACCGAGATCGACCGAAGAAAATGCTCACCTCTTTGGATGGCTTCCGAAGGACGTCCCCCACGCCTCCGCCATTCCTCAGCCCCTGGTTCAACACAGTCACAATACACATCAACAAAGTGTCGCAGGTTCTCTCCATCCCGTCCTTGTCACCGTCTTCACCTGTGGGGTTATCATAAGGTAGGAGTTGCCAACTTTTTGGACCTCAGGGACCACCAAACTCATAATTTTAAATCCCATGGACCAGAGATCCTGGGAAAATCCCCAAAAAAGTCTGCAGGAAAATTCCCGACCCCGTTTTCCTACCAATCGATCATTCTTTATTTGGGATCACAGGATACCGTGTCCAGCTCTGTTCTCGGGAGGGGGGAGAGAGAGAGAGAGAGAGAGAGAGAGAGAGAGAGAGAGAGAGAGACTTTTGGCTTCATGCAAGGAAAGCAGCAGAAGCAGCAGAAGTCTTTCTTTCTCTCCCCCAAACTCCGCCAGAAATGAGTCTTTGTGAGACTTGTCATATTGGTGCAGCCTCTTGAAGAAGGAGGCCTTGCAGGGTCCCAAAGACCCATTTCTGGTGGAATTTGGGGGAGAGAAAGACAGACTTTTTCTGCTTTCCTTGAGTGCAGCCAAAAGCAGAAGAAAGAAACGGAAAGAAGCAGTCCGGTGGCCAGGCCAGGCATGTGGGGCGAGTGGGCCAAATCATGTG